AAGGAAGCCGCACGACTGAAAGCGCGTTCAAGTTACGTGAAGCCGTTTTTGACGCCTGCCAACATTCAAGAGCGCCTTCGCTTTGCCATGTCTTTTTTGCCACCTTCGTCGGATGGGAATCACTTTTTTTCTGATTTGCATGATTATGTGCATATTGATGAACAGTGGTTCTATTTGACGAGGGTGAAGAAAAAGTTCTATGTGTATGAGGATGAAGTTGTTGCTGCTCGGTTTGTTAAGTCCAAACGGTTCATAACAAAGGTTATGTTTTTGGCGGCCATTGCCCGCCCTCGTGTTGAGTTGGACGGCACTATTTTTGATGGCAAAATTGGCGTTTGGCCATTTGTCGAAAAAATGCCTGCACGACGCAATAGTAAAAATCGTGCAAAAGGCACGATGATAACTACACCGCAATCGGTTGATGCTAAAGTGTACCTCAACATGGTGCTAAATAACGTCGTACCGGCCATAAAGTCTAAGTTTCCACCTCAATCGGGTGTGATTATCCAACAAGACAATGCCAGCCCCCACAAGTGCGTGACGACAAGTGTTCTGAACTCGCGCGGCATTTTGGGCATTGAAGTGAAGAACCAGCCACCGAACAGCCCAGACTTCAACGTCTTAGACTTAGGATTCTTTAACTCTATTCAAAGCCTGCAGTATCAAAAGAGCACTCGTACAATCGAGGAGCTTATTGATGCTGTGGAAACCTCGTTTTATGAGTTGCCTGTGGATACGGTGTCCAAAACATTCATTACCCTGCAAAAGGTGATGGAGAAATGCATCGAAATACACGGAAGCAACGACTATAAGCTCCCTCACATGAAGAAGGACGCAATGATATCCGACTTTACGTCCTTCAACGTTGAGTGTGATGCCTATACATACGAGAGTGCTTTGATCCACTTGAACTATCGACTGGGCGAGGAAGCATCCATGGAATCACTTGTGAATTCCCCAGAACAAGCTGTAGTGATCATTTAATAAAAATGTCATTATATTTTTGCCGTCCATTATTCGTTTCTAGAGTGACATACAAATATCAAGTAATTTCCGAATTGCCACACATACTTTATTCAAGTCAAAACGAACCTAACAACTATTTTGGACCAGAGTAGTACTTGCTACTTTCATGTTCTGAATATTCTTCATGTCACTACCCTACCCTAGTGATTGCTCACCCTGTCACGGCTCTTGCACAAGGAATAGAGCGCTGATGCTCATACGTCAGTGTTTCATTTTGGCTGATTTTTAGCCAATAGGAACGATACTAGATAGTTTATAAACGACTGAATCTGACACTGCGCAAAGGTGCTACACGCCTAACACTTAGCCTACCTCCTGTTTCCTACCTCGTGACAGGTTATGAGCCCCCCTGTTTCGACCATTATCGCCTAATCCGGCATTCTCCTCGACGACGCCTACAGATTCTATGCTGCGTGGCGCACCACGATTGAAGAAGCGGCTGTGACCGCAGATTTCTTCTCTCTCTACAGCAATGAGACCTTTTGCCCCACGCACATCGAAACCGACACCTACACTATCAGCCAGGCCAAGCCCCACGTGGACAAGATCCGCAAATATGCGAAGTACTCCGCGGACGGTTACGCCTGCGACGCCTTGGAGCAGCACCTTGCAAGAGTAAAACGCCTCGAAGAATACTTCACTCGCAAGTTTCTGAACGAGTACATCGCGGAGTCACTCACTGCCCTACGCATCCAAGCCCCTACGCATCCAAGCTAAGGCATTCCTCTTCAACTCCCTCACGCCTATCCTTCAATAACTCATCGGGTCCTACGCCTCTCCCTTCTCTTTCTAGGCCGCTCTGATGGCGCGCCATGAAGCTGGCACCCGTGACCACATGATCCTGTTTGCGAGCCTCACACAACTCAAGTACACTGAGGACATCAATGCCGAGACCCTCTTCACTACACTCGACGATCAGATCAACTTGATCGAAACGGCAACTCTTCCTGCGAACGCTGACGCTCTCACGGCTGGCGGGGGTCACGTGAAGACTTTTGAGCTCTTTCGTACTTTCGTGATTTCTAACGCCTTTGCCGCCAACAAAAACTTGTGGGACGCTGTTTGTCAGCTCCAATTCAAGGCGTATGAGGATGGTTCTGAATGCATGCCTATCGCCATCAAGACTACTATCCGCCACACCTGAAATATCGCCTCTCGTCGTTATCTATACGCCTTCCATTTTTCTCTACGGCTGAGGCTCACACTCAGCCTACCTCCACGCCTACCACAATGACCACCCATGTTGGGATCACCTGGGACACAGTCTGCCTGAAGGTGTACTTTCCCAATCACACTAACCCATTCCCATTGGAACCTTCACTCTATCCCCAGCTCTCCAACGAATGGATCATTGACTCAGGGGCCACCGCCTCCTGCACACCTCACCCTCGCTACTTCATCGACTCCGTTTTTGTCGAAACGTGGACGCCTGGCCGACAAGAATGACACATATGTCCTCCTTGGTGTTGTCACCCCAACGTCAATCATAGCTGAGCGTGTTTTCAGCATGGCGAGTGCTTTGATTGGCCTCGACCGTTTTTCACTCCATCCCATCATGATTGAGGCGACCCTCTTCCTAAAGTACAACCGCAGCTACTGGGATGTATCAACTTTCCACGAAAGTAAAAATATGTGCATTAATGCGCATATATTGCATAATATACATAATGTATTCCAGTCTTTTGCAACGATTATGCATTACGTATGTACTGAGTAGCTAAAAAATACATATAATATGCGTATTTTCGACCCCTGGCGATGGTAGCCATCTTTCTGTTCTCGGCTACGGGCCGATTGATCTTGGCGTTACCACTCACTCCGGCGAAACCTTGGCCAATCTCACCGCTCATCATGAACCTCCTAGCCACCAACCCTCCACCTCACCCTCCTGCTGCTGTTGCAGCTGCCATCATGGAATTCCAGACTAATCTCGCAGCTCATACTTCCCTCAGTGATGCAGACCCATTCCATATCAACTTTGCCACGCCTACTTCGTCCTCCATCTCTACGCTTGAGTCTACCGTCCAAGCTGCGGCGCGCTCGGAAGTAATCGATCAATTGCACATCTATATTATTTACTTTGGACATTCGCCTACACACATTATATCCAAGCCTCCAACAAGCAAGGCTGTACATTTCTCATTACCGCCTACCACCAAGCTCTCTCCTTCAACCCCAACGCCTCGTCCTTCATTAACTGTTTATCTGGCACTTCGAAATTCCCTTCCGTTCACGCCTTGTCTCTCACTTCCAACGTCACAATCCAGTCCGCACCCATCTCTTCATCTATCACCACACTCCTTCTATCTCCGCCACTTCCTGCCACTCTAACACCCACGACGCTTTCACTCGCACTGGCTACTACCACCACCTCGAACGCAAGCCTATCTAACGAAGCCCTATTTCGTCTTTGGCACAATCGCCTCGGACACCAAAGCTCCACCGTTCTTCAAAGCCTCGTCAAGACCCACCCCAATTATCCACCGACCGACCACGCCTATTTAAGTCCTTCACCTGCGACACTTGCGAATTCGCCAAGTCCCGTCGACAACAGTTTTCCTCTACCACCTGAGCTATTTTCCCTACCCTGTTCAACTTCGATGGATTTTTCCGGTGACTTACTAACATTTCAATAATCCACATTCACTCATACATACCAATTTGGAAACATAGCTGTTGATATAAATTCCCAATAATCCGAATTATCCCAAAAACGAAGATGATCCCAAATTCGACAAAACTTCGATTTGGATAACACATCGCATTGTATGTAAGTGCGTACAAGACTCGAAAATCCTCAAGAATCTGGATTCTTGGTAGCCTCCGAACACGGCCTTGGGGTCTTAGAAAGAGCCAACATATTTTATGTAAGTTTCACTTCGCTGTGACATGTTGGACTTTCAAATTCTAACTCAACTTATCCTTCTGGACTAGCATGGCACGCGTTTCAATGGCAGGTCACTTGCCACGCCCAACTCCGTCGACTGTAAACCCCAGTCGCTCCATAATGGGACGTCCAACGAGCACGTCGATCTCCATCTTCTTTTCTTCGAAACACGCTCGAAGTCCACCCAGGACCAGGTACCCGATTGACGCCTCCAACGTCACCGTCTTAAACTACACTTGTCGTGTCACATGGAGAGGCTTGGTTTTCTCTCCATATAACTTCAACATAAACCTTGGCTTATGTTGAGGCTTGCACCAAGGTGCTCCAGCGCCACGAGGAGGCCTTCCTACACCAACGTCTCGTCGGACCCAGAGTCAAGCAACACCTGAGGAAGTGTGAGCACGACCTCGATCGATGCTTGACACTCAATGCTGTTCGCAGGCTTCGTGTGTGACACGAACTTCACCGACGCATGGTGCGCCTGATGAAAGTCGCCCATCAACTTCTTCACATCGGCATATGTAATGCCAATGTGTCCCCACACTCGGTGTGCCATCGACTGATAGTTAGTATATAGTAGACACAGACAAGGGAATGGATGACCCCATATTACATTAAAGCTGTGCCTACTAAACTATGGTCATAAATAATGCATTGGATATCTTGAGATAGGTAATATGACACATTTTGACAGTCACGATTAACTTGATTAAAGTATGTATTGTTTATTATGACGGGTATCTTATTGTATACCTACTGCTTACGCTTTGGGCGCAGTCTCCTCGATGTGTTCATTTACTTCTTCTAGCGATAACAATATTACTACGTAGTACCAGGTACTATAGTGTAGTGCACTACTACATACTAATAGTATATTACTTCGGTACGGATAATTTTGTTAGATTTACCGCTTACGTACAATCTTTATCCCATTATAAAGGTACTGAATCTTTTACTGTACGATCTATTTTAATCTAAACATTTGTATAACACTACAAATCAGACATATAAATTATGAGGAAACACAGAGAAAATCAATCATCATTCCTGACAGTTTTTGCCCATAAAATGAGTGAAATCAGGTTCCCAATGAAATTCTCTATTTGGGAGTATGTATACCTATAGTCCCGAGCTACACTTGTTAAAAGCTCGAAACAGCCAAATTAATCAATCATTTGGCAAAACGTTCGGCAATTCAATGATTGTTCACGCTATCATCAAATGGAGTGCAGTACTGTACTACAAGTACTAGTATGTACTACTCTAGTATGCATTGTACTACTACGGTATACGTATAGTACGTACCCCGATTACTGTTCTGTTTACTGCGCAACACTTCAATCCATACATCCGTTTACTGGTATAGGTATATTGTGCATTTCACCCAAATTTGGATCTATTGAGTCATTCGCCAAGTAGCATTCGAATCCACTTGGTCCAACTAAAGCTTGTACAAACTATTCTATACAAAGCCTCCAGAACTTCGTCAGTTTTGTGCGTCTAACCCCTACGACCGTCACACACTACTACAAATTTTGGCAATTCTATCACACATGTATCCAATCATACAAGGGCAACATGAAATCTAGAGATCGTACTTCTAAAATTCGTATAGTCACGCAATTTGGGGCCGTGTCAACAATTGATGCATTAGCTTAGTCCAGATGCATCAATTATTGACACTGTTTTTGGTCAAGTTTTGGTCATGACTTCAAATCCCTTTAGCTCGAGAACTAGAACGATTATTTTAAAGCTGATAGCACCACTAGAGAATATAAAACGCCACCAGTTTTTAAACGTATCCTTGAGCATGATCGGACTACATTTCAGATTTGTATTGAAATTAAATGTTTTGTGGTCACGACTTTGGAGGTGAACCACTTCCTAGCACTCCTTAAAAACCTTGATGTTTGTATTGGTTTAAATTAATATTCAAAATAATTTGATCAAAAATATTATTGCATTCAATTCTCAACACGTAATAAAATTTCACATGAATTTAATTACTCAGCAATTTCACTTTACAGTTAATTCACTGCTTGGATCAAAAACTAAGGTGATTCATGTAATGTTAGCGTCATAGTGGAGGCCAACCGCTCGTTGCGAGGAGTAATACGCTGCTGCTTCTTGGTCAATGGTAGCGATGGCTCGAAATTAAGTACTTCCATGTATGACTTCAACATTGAGACGTGTATATAGAATATAGAGACAAATAACATCATATCCAGTCATACAAGTTCAACACGAAATATCGAGATGCTATTGGCAAAAAGTCAGACAGTACCACAATTAGGTGCCGTGTCAATAATTGATGCATTACCTTAGTATATATCAAGCAGGTCATCGATTGTCGCAAGGGTATAGATCCGAAACAATCGCCTAGGAATATTGTACCGGTATCCCAAGGCACAAACAAGCCTAAGGCCATTACGCCCCTCTATCAGTCTGCTACCACACCATCTGAACCCTTTGCAATTTCATTCCTCATTTTGCCATGAAGTTCTCCCTCTTCAGTACCATTGTCCTCTTCGCGGCGACGGCCACCGCCGAAACCAACAACGCCATCACGAGGATCAACGGCCGCACTCAAACGTTGAAGGGGGAGGCTGCCGAAGTAGACGATGCCGAGTTGAACCGTGAGTGTCACAAACAAATCGGCAGCTACATCCCGTCCCTCAAGGCCGGACAGTACTCAACCAGTGCGTTCCACAACTGCTTCCGCACCAGCGATCAAATCTACGAGTTCATCGATGCGTTGGTCGCCCAAAACCCGACGTTGCTGAGCAAGTTTGCCATCTCCAAGACGAACAAGGGGGCCACAATTTATGGGTACAAGTTAACCAAGGGCCACTCGCAGTCACTATACTTTCAAGCCCTGCAACATGCCCGCGAATGGGTCGCGGGGTCATCGATTCTGTTCTCAGTCGCATCAATTCTGGATGATATTGCCAACGAAAAACCCACGGCCGCCGACGAGTACGACTTGTACTTTGTGCCGATAGTCAACATTGACGGCTACGCCCACACATGGGCGAGCGCCCGGTTCCAGCGCAAGAATGCAAACGAAATCGACTTGAACCGCAACTGGCCGAGTCTGCCCAATCCCCGCCCTCCTCCCAAAAAGAGCAATGAGTACCCCGGATTTAATGCGTTCAGTGAGCCTGAAACAGCGGGCATCAATTCATGGCTCCAGACGAAACGCGGTGAAATCCAAGGGTTCATTGACTTTCACGCGTACGGGGGGCTCATCTTGTACGCTTACGCAGACAATAACAAGACCATCGGCGGGGGGTTTGACGAGAAGTTCGAAGTCCTCGGCCGTGGATTGGAAAACGATATGGGGGCGTACACGTATGGACCGGCGAACTCATTGCACCTGGCGTATGGGGTGTTCACAGATTACGCCTTCCGTGCGTTCCAAAAACCCGCCCTGAAGGTTGAAATTATCGGCGATGACTTTGTCGTGGACGCGTCAACCATCCCGACACGCGGCCTCGAAGTATACAAAGGCATCAACCGATTCGCCAAGGAAGTCACCGTGTTCAACGGCGGAGACGTCACCCCCGACAAGCCGTCGTGTGGTGAGTAGGAGCCAAGAGCTCGACTTAAAAGTCGAATCGTATTGTGTCAATGGTACTATCTGCGGTTCGTGGTTTTCGACTCCCAGGACAGTGTAGCGCACGGAGACCTAACGGATTTTGATGTATCAGTGAGCAGCCGAATTTGACCTGCATTCATTTGACCACGTCATAAAAGAGGGCAGTGCCGAATTCCCTAGTTTAAGCTGTTTCCCATCATCCGACAACAGATCCATTTAAAGAGTTTTAATCAGGGCAAATAGAATGGCAAAGTTTGCCGCTCAGACAGGCGTTCAGGGGTTAGCCGAATTTTAAACTGGTTTAAAGTATGTTGTATTTTCAGCTTTTGAGATAGATTTGCAATTATAAATTTATAGAGATATATTACATGTGTACAGTAATACATATTTACAGGTTGTACTTCACTTGTTCGATGCTCGACGAACTATGCCAAGCCTTTGGCGCGTAGCAATCGGTTAGACGATGAGGCGGTGGCATTGCGACCGCCTTGTCTAGGATCTGGCTGCGGTTCACAAGTTGGCCGTCGCGCTCCATTGCTAGAATCGATGTGACGAGCCCGTTTTGGAGCAGTGTTCATGCGTTTAGAATTCGCCACGTGTGCGCGAAACGATGGCTGAGGAATCGAATATGCGTCTGAAGCAGCAGGGATTGTTAGCTTCTAGGAGATTACGTCTGCTATGGCCTTAGCCACAACGTCAGCCATGTACGACGTTCTTCGCGGCATTTTGATTTGAATCAAGCCGAGACCCTCTATAAATTTGTGCTCTTTTCCACCATAATTGTTTGAAGGTGTTAGTGGTTGCAGGCCTTTATTTTATCCAATCATATCAATTCTGTAGTTCTATTGGGTAATGCGGCTCGGCTTTTCACTGTATTGTCATCCGAAATCGTAGGCCAGGTGGCCTGCTTCATTTGATTGGGTAAAATCACGAAAAACCCTACAAATTGCTTCAAGTTGGTTTTGCTCAGATTTGCGGCTTGGACATTGAGACGCAATGCCCAAGCTGTGTGACCACACAATACATAGGCATTTAGTAGGTGATGTGATGTGTGATGTACAAGTTAGCTTTGTGGCTTGGTATACTTACGCACCATAGCATTAGGTGCGGGCCGCGAAATGCGATGCTTGTGAAGTACCTCTGTGTGTGCGTGCAAAGTGATGAGCTGCATTCGGGGCCATGTACGGACTTAGTAGTCCTGCTGTGAAATGCATACAGGACCTTATTCTCGAAACAACTCCTGTTGGCGGTGCGTGCAGTGCACGCGGTGGGACACCCACGGTTTACTATTACGCAGTAAAGTTGAGATCACTGAGCGGGCAAAGGTCAGCGGCAAACTAAAGACACCAGCGGCAAACAGGATTGGGCGGCTATATATTG